AAGCAGCACAATACATTTTATTCCATTATTATCCAGGCATCCCTAAAGAAAAGAAACTGAGAATCACACTGGGATATAAGGGGTATATCACAGAATCCCTACAGTGTGGAAACAGACCCTTCGGCCCAACAAGTCCACACCAACCCTCAGTGCATCCCACCGAGACCCATGCCCCTATAAACCACCTAATCTACACATCCCTGAACACTACGGGCAATTTAGCCTGGCTAATCCACCTAGACTGCACATCTTTGGCCTGTGGGAGGAAACCCACGCAGAGACAGGGAGAATGTGCAAACTCCACATAGGGTGGAATCGAACCCAGGTCCTAGCACTGTGAGGCAGCAGTGCTAACCACTGAGCCACTGTGCCACCCCAAAGGAACATTAATTATACTGGCCTAAGTATTACTTGAGCTACGCTGTTAAACTAGAAGTGTTGTGAACTGTAACAGCATTTGAACATTTGCTGTTAGTTTGGAAATTAATTTTTCTTTGCTGTTTTGTTTGACAGTAAGCAGAACCAGAGTCCTGTTGAAGGCAAGATTTAATATTTCAGTTGGAATGTAATAATTTAAACCTGAAGGCATTGTGTATATGGGAGACTGCCACTAAAATAAAATGATTCAAGGCAAAGTGATCTCCATGGTGCTGTTTAAAGCTTTTATGCATAAAAAATAAAGCTTTGTTTCTCTCTGCAAGAACTGAAAAGTGTGTTTGTGTGTGAGGTTCGTGCCTCATTCAAAATCCATACTTTCCAAGTATTGTCCCTTATCAACAATTACCAGCAGAGGCCCTGATTAATGACTCTGCTCCTCAAAACATGGAACTAAAAACGTATTGTGAGCCTATTATCTTCAGGATTCCATTAAATTTCCAATAAACAAGTATTCGATAGAATAATTGTTAAAAAGAATAAGGACAACCAAATGCCGTGCTGTCCTTTCCATACAGTTTACATGAACAGTGAATAAAGACTAAGACAGGTTAATGAAAAGCATCACTTCCTCAAAGAGTAATAAAATATTTTGGCAGCTGACAGTCAAATCTTTCAAAGACAGAATACGTCTTAATATTTTCATGGGATCACCTCTAATTAAAACATTATTCAATCAGGGTCAGGGACAGAAATTACAGGTCCTAGGTGGTCTCTGACTCCCAAGCTAAACACAACAGACCCTCTAGAACCAAGTTATTGGGCCCTGATGTACCCTTCTGGCCCCAGCCCTTTATTAACTCTTTTGTAACGCCCAAGTTGTATTTCATTACATTCTTGCTGTGAAAGAAAGGTTGGTTTTCTCTTTAGTTTTTGAAAAGGAAAAGAAATCATCTCACCTCAGCATTTTCAAATTCAATGAATGCAAAACCTCTGTGTTTTTCTGTTTAAAGAGAAAATTGTCAATAAAGAATTTAGATTTTTGGCTATTTCATAATCAACATTTTGGAGTTACGAACACAGAAACATTAAGCTTCAATTGTTGTTTCACAGAAGTAGCTTTCACTGTATCTGGAACATCACACTGTATGGTTTGGTACCAACTCTTAACAAGTGTTAAATCTCAACCTTTTGTTTTTAAAGGAAGATATTTACAAACAATTTTCAGCATAAAAATTTTGAGAGAGAGATTTTTGTGTCATAAAAACTCAATATTTTCTCTCAGTTTGCAAGTATTCTGAATCTGGTTCAATCAGTTGGAGGAATTTTAAGTGAAGTATTTACCAGTTTCATAATCCAGTGGAATTTGAATGTCCATGATATCTCCAAATGGAATGAAAGCTGCATGAAGCACTTTCTCATCTACTTCTTCAGCAAGACCACCTACAGGTGATAAACACAAAATATAACAAGATTTTCTGTGAGAACACCACCACCTTGACTACAAAATACATTGTCACTGAGTCAAAAACTTGGAACTCCCTAACAGATACTGTGAGTGTACCGACACCTCATGGATAGCAGCAACTCAAGGTGACAGCTCACCACAACCTTCAGAAAGGCAATTAGGGATGGGTAACAAATGCTGGCCTTGGCAGCAACACCAGATCTCATAATAGAATTAAAAACAATTCAAACAATGGAAAACCTACTTACTTCAATCACAAGTCTGACTGGCTGCATTCAATTGATGACAAACATCTTGCAGTTTTGTAGGTGTTTTTCTTTAGCTAAAAATATCTTAACCACAGAACATAACAGGACCCACACCCTCTCTATCAAACTCATCTCACCCTCTCTATCAAACTCATCTCCCTTCCATCCTCACAGTCTTTGCATTTCACTTATTTGCATGGAATGATTCTTTATTCTCTGCAACTTCAATCACCTTACCAATCCTTCTCTGACTGCCTGTGACTTCTCTCAGTCACACTGTCCACAAAAATTCCTTTTTATAGAAGTCAAGTTTATCCCCCAGTATTTTACTATTAGTTTTAGAGTATAAAGTACTTGATTTTAAGTAGGGCAAGACTAATAAAGTGAAACTATATACACAGTATGTGAAATATGTTATCCAGTATTAAGAACTCCTTACCTAATTGCAGCATATAGCACCCAAAAGATGGAGATACCCGGCTTTTTCCTGTGTTTCTTGGAAACACACAATTATCTATGTTCAAAAATTTTGCCCCAACACAAGGAACAGTATCAAACTCTCCACTGGTTTGGTTTGATTGTCTGAGTGATTGCCTGATACATCATCACATATTGTAACAATATCACAAAAATGTCTTATGATGATATTTTTAAAATGAATTTGAATGCTCAACATTCAGTCAACAAGAACTTAAAATGCTATATTTTTAAAACAATGTGGTCAAAGGATAATTTCTTATTCTTTTAAAACTTTCAGTCACATTATAATTGACAAAGAACTGAGATAACAACGTGTAGAGCTGGATGAACACAGCAGGTCAAGCAGCATCAGAGGAGCAGGAACGCTGATGTTTCAGGCCCTTTAAGCTTCAAAATAATATGTTGCCCATTGTATTCATCTCCTCCAAAGAAATTTTGAAAAAACAAAACTGAATAACATACAATGCAAATGAAAAAGGATTAAATGGATCCTTCCAATCAAAAACTTTGTTTAGAACTAAGCACATCTACTTGTCTATCAAAGAGCTCAGCAACTGTTTAAGAAACCATTTAAGAAATAAGCTGCATATGGAATTCCCTTGATTTTTAAATATAAAGAACTTTTATTATAGTATCATTTTATAAATCAATGTTAATTCTAATTTGCAGCAATTTTAGAGATCAGGTTTGAACAGACTTCGTGCAATCCACTGGCCATCTTTTTGGCCTTTATTGAATGGAGGCTTCATTACTTCTTGTCCAGATGCAGTTGTAGAATGTCATACAACCAGAAGTTTTTGCCCGTCGCATTGCCAGAGTCATTTACGGCAGCTATCCTGTCCTTCAAGTTTCTGCTATCTCTCCTTCGAGCAAAACAGTCAATCCCACTCCCCTGCAGCCCGGTGAGTTTATTTCCTTCAAGTTGAACCAATTTCCTTTCAAAACCATTGGGCAAACTGAGATGATCAGCCTCCTAGGCAGCAAAATCATAGCTATTATTATTCACTAAAAAGTAAAGCTCTTTGTCAGATTCTCCCTTTCTCTGTTGCCCTTAAAATATTCTGCACATTTATTATTCCACCTATTGACATTCAAATATTACCCCTCTCTGCTTCATTTGCTAATTAACTATGAAGCACCTATCTAACCTGCAATGATGAATGATTATTAAGGAAAATCAGTCTCCAAATGTTCCTTCCATCATGGAGATACCTTAATTTCCCATTATGCTTCTTCTCACATGACACATCTGAGATTAAATATTCAACTTGAGGCACAAACCTGCATTCCACCATTCTACAGCAAAATATGTTTACACGCATCTGGGCTGAGCTATGGACATCTAACTATTTGAAGATCCAAATGTTTTTTTAAAAACACAACACATTTTAGATTTATTTTCAAGTGTGTTTTTATAGATATGTATTACAAAAAGAATGAAAAAAATCTACCCACAAATCAAACAAGGTCCAACTGTTGCCACAATGACTGAATCAGGAGTTTCTTCATGTGACTACAGAGTCTATCAAGTCAGTACACGACATTGCAGGTTCAACAGTAATCTGATCTAGCAAAAGACCATCATCTAAAGGCAGGGCTTCCCAAAAGGGATCAGGCCGCAAGTGGGTTGCGAGTTCCAAGGCTTTAATTGCTGCTGTGAAGTCCCAAGTGACTGTGCTCCAGATCTAACAAGCAACAATGCCCACAGGTACCTAACTTCTCCCACCAACTCTCAAAGGTCTCTTTGAAGAATGGTGACAGTTTACAAGCCTCGAAATTGAGTCACAGTGGAACAGTTTTGAAATCACTGGCCCAAGGAGTAGACACCATAGCACCATATCTCAGGTTATAAATAGTTTTATTAGCTGGACAATCCTTTGTAAGATAACCATTATAACAACGACAGCAAATTATGTGTAATTATGGCCGAATTATGTTTTGTCTTTTATCAACATGTTAAAAGGACACATTAATCAAAACAGCCCGTATTTTGTACAATTCTACATGATTGTTGAATGAATCCATTCTCAGACTGAAAAATGATAAATTATAAAACGATAAATTGATAAAATATTTAGAAGTATGGTAAGATTTTAAAAAAGCAAACGATAATCAATCTACAGGCGATCTTGCTCGCAGAGATGAGTTTTTTTTAATTGTGCAGGGTTTGGAATTTCCCCCGTTGCCGCACTAGAGACCCACCACACTCAGTAAATACAGACAAGTACCCCATGGAGAACGTTATTTCACTGTGGGAAGAATCTAAAGGAGATAAAGAGTGGCCATATCCCTTCCTCACTCACCCACATACAGCACCCGCTTGGTCGACGCCATCTTCTCTTGAACTTTCCCCTCTCAACTCCAACCTTTCACCCAGACACTTGCTCAATGCTTGGTTTATTTAATAAGTTCCTTTTCAAACAAAAAAATTATACGAACTTGAAAAGAACCGTGTCACTGGAAAAAAAAACAAAAAAAAAGCTAATTTCTAAAATAACTAGACAGGAAAATGAGACCAATTTTGGAGCAATAGTTAAGAGTGGGATAACGTAGGTGCTGATGAGGAGACGTATCTGTGCAGAGCCAGGCGTTAAGACTGTCTCTAAGGGATCATATGGATAATCAAAACATGCCTGGGGCAGGTGCTTTTTGAAAATAACGTCTTTATGTTCTGTAGTATTCCACTGTCCTCTCTGTACGATATATAGGAAAATTTGTGTTCAGACCTCACCCTATAAAGTCTCACAAAGAGCCTTAAAATGTTAGTTTATAAATGGGACTTGATAATTTTTCCACTAAATAAGCAGATAGGGGTTACATGTCATCAAGGAAGAAGAGTAGACTGCACAAGCTTGCTCTGCCATTCAATAACATCATAACTGAATTGACTTGAACCTCAGCTATACATTCCTACATATCCATCTGTCTACCTCTGCCTTAAAACATTTTAAAGATTCTACATCCACTGCCTTTTGAGAAAGGGAATTCCTGAGACTTATTCTGAGGGATTTATTTTCCTCATCTGTTTTAAATGGGCACCCTCTTATTTTAAAATTGAGTCCTCGTTCTAGATTCTCCCACAAGGTTGTACTCTGGCCACCAGAGTTCATCCATCCAAGATTTTAAAAAGTTCTTCAGCACTTTATTCAGTGAAATCTTTAATGAACTTTCCTTCTGCATTGTAACAATTGTGCACTCTCAAACCTTGTACTGAGATTACTTACAAGGGGAGATCTCTGCAGTTTGCAGTTCTTGTTGATACCACTATATGTGCCTTTTCCAGGTCGATTAGCTCAGCTAGCTGGATGGCTAGCTTGCAATACAAACTGAGGCCAACAGTTTGTGTTCAATTCCTACAGTACCTAATGGGACAAGGTCTACTCTTCTCAATATCTTCCCCTCAACTGAGGTGTGATGACCGTCAGGTTAAACCACCACCAGTCATCTTTCTCTAATGAAAGAATGGGACTATGCTTACTTGACCTTATGCTGCCCAGCTGTAAATATCTTTTTCCCTTGACATTATGAACTGGTTTTACTGTAAAATATTAAATACCTTCTGTCAGTTCCTACTCAGACACCTTCTTTCTTAACTGGTATTCCATAAAACAGTTCCTTAACTGTCACTGGGTCAAATTCTAGAATTCCCTTCCTAATGGCGTTATGCGTCAACCAACAACAGATGGACTGCAGCAATTCACCACCACCTTCTCCAGAGCAACTAGGGCCAGGTAATAAATGTTGCCCCGCCAATGATGCCCATGTCCCGCAAATGAATAAAAACCTTCCACACTGAGAATCAGCTTCAGGCCTCTTTTCTGCAGTGTTCCATGACTGGAATGTTTCCCTTCTATATCAACCAAACTTAATACAGGACTTAAGTGACAGCCTTGAATTTATAATTTTATTTGGCAATAAAATACTGCACTATATTTTTGCTGCACTATAAGTTGGCCATTACTTCATTTATTTTCAATTTTCTCAACCTTCAGCCATTTTTACACCTCCCATAGGGGGAGGCATGGTGTTCCAGTTTCCTTTCAATATGTGGAATCTTTCAATTATCGACATATTTATAGATATTGTAATGACACCAGTTGTACGCCTCTGTCTACTTCCTTCAATTGCCACAATGTTTGTTACCATCTGCAAATGTAACCCAGTCAGCCATGATCTAATTGAAAAGCAAAACTGGCTGAAGGTGTTGAATGGCCTATTTTTCCCCCCAATTCCCAGTGTACATTGGCTTCCATATCCAAGTTACTCAAAAAAATTATCAACAGTGGTTTGGAAGGTTGAGCCAACCAGACAATGAGGGTCTCAGGTTCAATCACTGACTTATGCTGGGTTGATTTTATTAGGAATCACAACCTCTCAGTCAGAAAAGGGAGAGATACCCAGTGACATCATCTGAAAAGCGTGCATACGTGAAAACGGGCATGGACAGGACGAGGCCTCAACATAATGTTGAATAATTTATATACTGAATGCTCAATAGAGAACTTGGACAGAAAATCCGGTGGCATCTATTGGCTTTAAAACAACATTCCAGCAAGAACATCTTCAAGGGGGAAAAGACTAGGAAGAAAAATCAAGTTTATTCTTATGGATCTCAAACCTAAAAGGTAGGCATTTGTTTAAATGGATTTGTGATGACTTTATGATTTGATTGAAATATTCTCCTACCATTTCCCCAGTGCTGGAAATTCTACTATTTATAGATCTGGCTGTATACAATAGTTCATTAAATGAAAGGTCGAATCAGTTTCATAAACTTGAATTATCCCTTTCCAGATTTGTGCAGTACTTGAAGTTCCAACCCATCAGGACTCGATGATTCATATTTTCATAATTTCCCCTACAGTCAATTCTCATTTGTACACATGGCTTACAATCCTGTTAACTTTGCAATTTATGG